TTTTATGCCCACAATTGATGGCCACAGCCCCCTTAGCTCAACTTTTTGAGGGCAGCCGTGAGAACTAGCAGGCAGGGGGCAAGGTTGAGACCTAAACCTCAATCAAGGGCATATGTCTGGAATTTGACTGACAAATTTCCATTAAAGTCCTATTCTGTTACCTCATCACAGCGTGGTGATAATCTTGAGTTCTTAAGGATTATGCGAATGGATCAAAACCTCTGAAGATTCTACCCTAGAAGGACAAAGTAGATCCCACAATAAACTGTGCATCTGTCACTAGCACACCTAGTTAAAACCTGAGAGATTCCTCACCAAAAGGTTGACTACTAGATGAGGATTTATCTCCATCTAAACAAAGCACAGGACCATAGATTTAGGTCTAGAAAGACCCCCAGAAGTCATCAAGTCCAATCTACTTACTTTGCAGAGAAGGAAACAGACGATATACTAAGTTGTGTGATCTATATTGGCTGAGGAAGTACCCTCAATGAAATTAAGTATCTTTGTAGGGTTATAGTACAACTGATGAGAGGCAGCATAGCAGTATAATGAAGAGTGGTTGACTCTAAGCCTATGGGAACCAGGGTTCTAATGTCTAGTTTAGTACCAATTAGTTATAGTGTCAAATTACAACCTATCTGGGCCTGCTCTCTCAGCTGTAAAAATGAGGGTTATCATGCTGGACCATTTTCCCTATTCTGTTACTATGCACTTATTTGAGTTTTTAAATTATTTAATCAAAATTCTGGACTGAATTATTGTCTAGAAGGAAGAAGTGAGGGAAGGGTTTGAGACATGAGCAGTAACTTAACATAGGACAGTGATCACTGCCAGTAACTGAAAGTAGGGTTGCAGTGCTGTATACTGACCCAAAGGAGACTGTCCTCTCAGTTCAGCCAATAAGAGCTATTCTATGGAATGGCCACCCAGTAGTAGTGGGTCAGAACCCAAGCAGGAAGAGACCTTGTACTAAGAAGTTTGGGAGAAGCCAGACTCAGGCAGGGGGTAACAGAAACCAATCTTTATTGTTAAGGGCCACAGGGGCCAATGTAAGTTGAAATCATGAAATGGAAGAATCAATTTCACACATACACCCCCACTGCCCACGTGCAATCATCTGTTAAAATCTTTGATAGGACAGAAAGGATGAATGTAAGCGCGAGGAAGGAGAGCAAAAGGGACAGACAGAAAAAAGGAGAACTAGATTTTCCAGGCTAGAGCATAAAAATCTACAAGGAGAAATAAGGTCTGAAGCCCAGAAGCAGCTAATTTGGAAGGCTGCATAGGGAAGAAGCTCTTTTATTGAAGGATGCCAGTGAATAGGAACATTGTTTCCCCAAGGCATGGCCAGTAAGTCTTGGTAAGACAAGCAACTGTCAAGTGAGGTACAGTAAACCAGGAAGGCCATAAGACATGGCAAGATGAGGGGAAGAACAGGGAGTAGAGAAAGGGAAGCAAGATGGTAGAAAAGTATCTGACAGGAACACTTGCTCCCTAAGACCTAGAAATAAAAGTTAAGAAAGCAGATTTCAACAGACTAAATTGCCAGAACAGCCTTGCCAAGCAAATCTACCACCCAGAGACTTAGAAATAAGATTTTTTGGCAGGAAAGGGTCAATCAGGAAGAAAAGGGAACAAGGAATATTACGAGTTTAAAAAAAACTAAGGCCAACCCTCAAACTGGTGGTTGGTGTTATAGAAGATATGATTTTGGGGAGGAGGGAAAAAGAGGAAAATGAAAATAAAACACTCTACCTGACTTTCCTTTTAATTATCAGGAAGGACAGTTCTAACAGACTTAATTTTATATCCTCATGAAGGAATAAATAAAGGAAGACTTAGTTGCTTACACAGCTACAGAAAAATGAAGAACTCAAACTGGAGAAAATAGCCCCTCCCCCACCTAAGGTGAGCAACTGTGGAGCTTCAGGGAAGCCTCATCTATGGAAGATGTGTCAGATGCCAGCAAAACTCTGGAGTGACCTGAACCAGAGTAAAATGTCAAGAATAAATGAAAATACAATACAATATAATGTTAATTTGTGGTTTTCTAAGTCAATATATTTCCCTTAGGAATTCGCTTCCATTTGAGTGTGACACCACTGACCTCTGGCACTGAGAGTTGTTCATAAGTAGAGATTTGGAACTGGAAGGAACATTAAAAAATGAGTTAATATAACTACTTCATTTTAAAGATGAGGAAACTGAGACACTGGGAGGTTAAGGCACCTACCCAAAGCTGTAGAGATAGTAAGCGATAGAACTGGGAATTTGAATCCAGGTTCTCTGATTCCCAGTCCAACACTCTTTCTACTGAACAAATACAATCACGGGCCCATATGTTTCACAGAGGCACCTAATCTACAGGGAGTTGCTTAAAAATACAAACACATATTATTATATCAGGCTGAAATGTCTTCATTTTCTAGTGTATGCTAAAATACATGCTTTTCTCTTCCCAAGAGAGTTTATTTTAGGGGTACAGCTTAAAATTTGGGTGGATAAACAGAGTACTTAACAATTTGTTAAGGAAATAGGATAACATTATATGCTACATAATAAATGACCTCTGGGCCAAGTACACATAAAAAAGTGGATATCACAGTGTCAAAAAAGAACATTAAAGGGACAGAAAGGAAGACAGGGGAAGGGGAGGGCAGTACTAAGGTCCCTGAGGGAAGAACTGGATGACAGTTCTAAAGCAGGGACAGAGCTACCAGCAACCGGCTACCAGGATACTGGGGTAGGTTAATTTAATGCTTCTGTTCTTCCATACAGATATGGTATTACAAGAAATATTTTAAAACAAATATATTATTCAATGTTTCAAAGCATCTCCATAGGAATGAAAAATTCCTACAAGCCAAATTATTCCTCATCTATAGACATTACAAGAACTCAATCCAACAAGGGTCCAGTTGTCAGTTTTTGCAGTCCTCTTCTTCACAGCCACCTTTATTGCCCCCTCTAACATTTTCTGGAATATGCACTTATTGTGTTTTTTTATCCCTCTCTGGGTGATATGCTGATGTTCCTTATATATATATATATATTATCTGGCTAGTAGGCTAGGGAGACACCTGCAGATATATCCATGGTCAGAAAGGCTAGCATTCAAATCTTTTCTTCACCTAAGATATAACTTAGCGGAGGCAGACACAAAAGAGGGGAGGGGAACCCAGTTTGACTCCAGTTTTTTCTTCTTATTTCCAAAGAATAGCAGTCTTTCCAGTACTGACAGTGAGCTGTTACTCCCCTTTGTTTCTGTAGATTCTTGTTAAAATAATCAAGTCATCCTTTGAAGTCAAGCCAAGTAAAAAAATTATAATCTTCTTCCCAAAGAAAATAAGCCATAATCTTCTTCCCTTAGGGGTCCCATGAATTTGTTTATGTGACCTCAGCTGGCTTTCAAGAATTCTAATGAAGAAGAATACTGTGCTGTTAAAATTTTAATAAATATGAAATCTGCAAGACCCCTTGCTTTTAGAGCTCTAGCTGCTGTATTTTAACATAATTCACATGACTCTCAGCTTTGCTCACCCGCTTTCCCTGGTTAGGGAAAAAGACATCCATACTTCCCCAATTGTTCTCCCACAGGAGTCAACGATACTTCCAGCTTTTCATTTTTTAAGTGGATCGACTCAAGTGGTTTCCTTTAAAGGACCCTCTTGCTGAGGCCTGGCTGTGCTCCTGACGTGTCAGGCACGAGATCTGCAAGGCAGTGGCATGCAGGGTAAAAAAAGCTCTTTGGGATGTGACGGAGCAGCCTAAAGGAAACGGGAACGCTGACAACAGACTCACTGCAGTTCAAGAACATGAACAATTAAAAACCAAAAGAGCAATTCCAAAATATATGGGTGAAAAACAAGAAGGAGAAAAGGAAGAAAATTGAAAATCACCTTTGAAGTGGTTAGATAACAGGCAATTCGACACTTCTTTAATTGTAAGGCATTACAAACACCCTAACATATTTATAGCTCTACTTGACTCCAATGCAAAAGCAGAACATATGTGGTATTTACATGAAAATTGTAGGTAGGGGAGATGGAGAGCCTAGGATTGTCTGTGTGGTAGGCTACATTCTCTTTATTTTTCAAACCACTGTCTTATTTCCTCAAGTTTTATCAGCATCTTAGAAGTTTAGAAATACTTATGAATTCAAAACACTTTTTCTTAGTTTCTACTCTCTAACAAACCATAAAATGCTTTTAGGTTTGTAACTAAGACCTTATTGAGACAAACAAAAAAAAGTCACTGTAATTTTAGCTTAAGTTGTGGGTCAACGTGGGTTGCTAGATATTTAAAGATATGCTAAAGTACCTTACTATCTAGAAAAGGAAAAAAAAACCCAAAATGTCAATTCTTCAATAAATAATGTCATTCATATTCTTAAAGCTATCTGGACTACTAAGGCAACTCCACAAAAACATGGAAACACTCAAATGTAGCTTGATTTAGACTTAGCCTGAAGCATTGCATTCACACTGGACAAGATTTTAATATACTGCTGTTACTGTCAATATTAAAGTTATGGAGTTTAGTTAATCTCAGTAATAGCCAAAAGTAGCTAAGAACTGACACTATAAAAAGGAGTAAAACCTGTTTTAAACACCAGATAGATATTAAATAACATTAAGTGCTACCACCTTAACATATTGGATGTGGTCAATATTAACATACTATGGTGCTGTCATGCAAGGATATAGAGACATCTTAAGTTTATGTATATCACAATGCATTTTACACAACAAAATTTGTTCAAAGTTCTCCAAAATCTCTGAGAATATTTGAAAAGTCAAAAGATATCATCAATACACTTGTCAAAGTACATCCTATCCCAGCCTACTCTATCAAGTAACATTTTAAAGAAAAAGATAAAAATCCAGAGAAGTTTCTAGTATTACTATCAGCAATACTGAAGGTACATTGATCATGCCCACTATAACACCACTAGAAATCTGACAAAGCATTATACATTTGGCATTTATTATACTCACCTAAACCTTTTTGTCCAGGGTTCTTAGCAAAGTTAAAGGTAAACTGATAAAAATCTTTGAATTTTATTGCATCCTTTAGCTCTTGTTCTATTCTTGGTAAAAGAGCTTTTAATTTTTCTGTAGTATCACACCTATTGTAAAAAAGTTAATCAGTGAATACTATTTTTAATAGAAAAGTTTTATAAAACACATTTATTAACAGTATTGTATTAGTACAATAGAGTTTGGCTCCAAAAGTTAACATTCAATAAAATTACTGATAAAATATAATTTATCTTCTTCCCAATGAGATAATATTTAAGGACCTTTAAGCAGAAATCATAGTGAAATACAATAAAACTTGAGTTTTTTAAATCCATAACAAAGAAAATTGTCACATCTCACATTTTTTCAGCAATCTCATTTCACTGGAAAATAGTTTTTAAAAATGAGAAAGAACTTTTAAGAAGTCTTTGAGGAATGGAACTGCTGTTACAAAATCCACAAATGAATGAAAAAGCATTTTATTAAGCACTCCTTATGTATGTGCCAAGCATATACTAAAGTCTATTCAGAGCCTCCTGGCTTCCCTTACTGCCTACTTATTTTTGTTACATAAACAAATTAAAAACCTTTGTCAATTGCTTTCTCAGATAATAAAAGAACAGAAACAGCATCTTAGAAGTGGGGCAAACAACACCTATACAACTCATTAGGTCCCAAGGGCATCAGCTCCTGATAGTACAGCATGATAACTGAAGTTCTTAATGACTGAATTAAGCTATCAAGAAAAGGTTAAATTCTGTTCAGCATATAATCCCAAAAGGCTGGGAAACATGTCAGACAATTTAGTAAGCTTTTCATCCCAAACGGACATGGCAAAGTATTGATGCTTAAATGGCTAAAGGTCCATTATCTGAAAAATCACCTTATACAAAACACTTCATTCCTGAACTAAGTCCAACAATTACTTTTCTAATAGTAGCTTCAGGGAGAGCTTTCCACAACAGCAAACTAAAAATAATAATAAAAATTATTTCTAAAAAGTATCATTATCATTACAAATCACTGTTGGGATGAACAGATCAGAAACTAATAATAAGATAGTTCTCTAATAAGTCTCTTTTGCTCTGTACCTAAATATCTTTCATATGTATGTTATTGAGATATAAAGTGTCCCATTATAATGATTAATATTTCTTAAGCATCCACCAAGAATATGGCACATTACGGAACTGAAGAATCACATTCCAAATATTTATGCTTTCTCTCTGTTTCAAGAGAATTCTTTTATTTCAAAAGTTACAAAGCTTCCTTCTGCTGTCTAGTTCAAGGATTTCAAACCAATTCTCCCAAAACAATATTTTTTCCTGTAAGAGGGTCAAAACTTATAATCAAATAGGTTAGCATTTCCATTACCACAAGTTAGCATTTCCACTGCCAAATGAAATACAAGATAGTTATATAATTTCACCTATTTTCATTAGTATCAAAAAATCTGCATGAGAACATAAGAAAATCTTAAATATTAAATGTAAGCAATCCCTGCCCCCATCTTTATAACTCTGAAGTATTAAGGGATGCTTAGATTAAAAGACTGTAATTCAATGGTACAAAGTACCATTCTAGTTAACAGATTAGTGAAATGTATTTTTGTAAATTTTATCTTAATGTAAAATAATATAATTTTAATAAAGTAAAATAATAGTGAATAGTAGAAAAAGAAAGTATTCTACAATGTTGGTTTTGAGGATTCAAAGTTAGGAGAAGAAAAAAGTAGATGTGAATAAGTGATTTAAGGAGTAAAGAACGGCTAATCTGAACAAAAAGCTGCATTGGTTTGGTGAAAAGGATTCAGCAGAGAACTGGGTTTGAAACTCATTTCTAACATTTACGAGCTATATGACCACAGGAAAATCACTTCTCTGAATTTAGGTTTCCTCATACATAAATGGAAACTTATAGGTATTCACAGTCTCTCTCTCCCATGGTTATAGTGAGATTCTCATTTCAATTTCTATCTTTCTTTTTTTGGAAGCAACTGGGGTTAAGTGACTTGCCCAGGGTCACAAAGCTACTTAGTGTCTGAGGCTGCATTTGCACTCAGGTTCTCCTGACTCCAGGGCCAGTGCTCTATCCAGTCATCTAGCTGCCCCTCATCTGAATTTTACTCTGTAAACTTTAGAAAACAATACATAAATATCAACGATTATTCATGAGAAACAGCATAATCTAATAGCTAGAAAGTTGGTCTCAGTCTGTAAGACCCAGCTAGCTAGCATCAGTCTAGCCTCTGCCATTCTGCACTGGCCATGACCTTGGAAGTCACTTAACCTCTCCCCAGGTAACTCTAAAACCATATAAGTCCTGATGTTCATTGGAAGAGGACATTTCTCTTTACCAGGAGTTCCCTATACCAATGAAGTCACAAGTTCAGACCAAAAAACAAAAACAAAACCAAAAACACCTGACACGTACATATAATACCAGTAGAAATGAAAGGGAAACCCATTAAGTCACTTAGAAGAGATCAATCAATACAGGAAGACACAAAGAGACCCCAGGAATGATAAAAGAACTTGATGTCCATGGGCATCATCAAAAAAAAAAAATGAAAAAGAATAGTGAAGGTATATCATGAAAAGCCAAGCAAAATAAGACAGCAATTCTGCATTGTAGAGGTCATCCATTTACTCACCCCAGCTCTGTCATGCCGTCCATGAATTCCTTTTTACTGAATTCACATTGAGTGGCTGCCCTAAATTTCCATGCTATGACAAGAACACTGATATGGGCAGGATCTAGGCCTAAATCATCACAAAACTGCTGAATTCCGTCAATACCAATTTTATTCTCATCTTGTGGGTCTGTATTTAAAATTACAAAACAGAAGAATTATATCATCATAAACTGTTACCATAAAAGAATAAAAAGTCTAATGGTGCTTTGAATCCCATAGCTATAGCCACAGTTTGTCACATACAGGAAACAACAAACCTCACAACAATGCTAAGTCAAAAACAACTTTTACTTAATAAAATAATAACTATGGGTCTAGATGAGTAGAATCTTTTTTTAAAGTATTACATTGTCTTTGAAGAACAAAAGAGGGAAATAGAACAAATTAATTTCTATAGAATAAGACAAAAATAGCAAAGGTGACAAAAGAGCTACCTTGCCAATAGGACATAAGCATTACTAACAACAAAGCATAATTAAGGTACATAATAACATACTAATTATTATTTCTATAACAATGACTAAGAAAACTTCATTCAAATGCCACTATATCAAATACATTCTTCATTTAAATTTTTTTATAGGTCTGAACTTAATAGTTCAGATAATTTTTTTTCTTATTTCCAATTTGGAAATAAAATTAAAGATCAGTTTGCTTATTCACTGTATGAAAACTAAAAATGAGTTTGATTTTCTTGGTAATTAGAAATAATATTGTGTAGTAACTATCACACAGTATCAGTGAAAGCAGTTTGGCATGACTAAATCAAATTAGGTTTAGTATCTTCATGAAATATATTATTTATGACATAATCTGATATTATAATACAAGTTTATAATTTTGTTAGTAGTAGGAACTAAAGTTGGAAGAAAAAACGATAGAAATTCATTATCAATTGTTCAGGGACAAGACAAAACCTGTGCCATCAAACACAAACACTATATATACAGAGTAAAAATTCTTGTCAATATTTATGTATCTAATGACAATTCAGCAGAGACTAATAAATAGCTTTCCAAAACTTATTTATGTGTAGATTTGTTGTGTTGTAACGGGGTAGTACATGTTGCTTTTTTTAAAGGCAAAATTTTATTTTGGTCATTTAACTATGTTCTGGTTTACTTAGTTATGAAACCTGTGTTATTGCTAATGGCATAAATTTAATTATTATATTATAATTTCCTAAAACTTCAATCTTCCATATGTAGAAGGATATGTAAATACAACTATCCAAGATGAGCCAAACATGCGCACATGCATACACACACACACACACACACACATATATATACAGAGTATACACCTCAAAACATATGTGAAGTCACTATAATGATGCCCTGACCTCACAAAACACCATATCTGACTTTGCATATCTTTAGAGAAATGGAAAAATTGGGCCAACATGCTACCCAAGCAATGAAATAATTTTAGAAAAATGGTGACTAACAATATTTGATGAAACTTTAAAGTGGCTTAATTGCAGTGACATTTCTTCTACCTAATTATGTTTTTGAATTTTTTTTTGTATAAGACTCAATATTTGTGAATATACACACTTGGATTTACAGTGTCTTCTGGTTTAAGAATATTTAAAGGAGGGTTAGGGAGTTTAAATTAAAATGCTATTAAAATATAAAGACTTATTATTTGTACTCATTGAAAAATATTTGAAAGGCATATTTGAAAATATTTTGATTTTGATTATTTGATCAAATATTTGAAAAAATATTTGAAAGCCTTTAAAAAGTCAGTTCAATAATTATGTAAAAGTAATTCCAAAAAGCATTTAAAACTATTTTTATGTTTCAGAGCTTCATTACATATAAACTTGTGATTCTATCACAGAATGTTTTTAAACTAAGTATTTTTTTAAAAGGCTATATACATGCTATACTCAGTATTTTTAATCATATGCACAAAGGCTAAGCAAACCCCCCCCCCCATGAAATCCATGGCAATAAACAAACAGGAATTTTACTTAACAATATTTTAGTCTTAGATGCTACCAATAAACCTTAGGATAGATATGGCAATTTATACGGATTTTGGAAATCTCTGTTTTTGTGAAAATATAATAAAATCTTTTAAGCTATTAAGTCAATAAGAAAAGTAACTGCTCTGGTCTAAAAACTAGTTCTAACAATCTAAAACAAAATTGTTTTAGTTTGGGAAATACAAGATTAAGCAAGAGAACAATTTACACAATTATCACAATGTAAAGGAAAACAAATTTGAAAGATTTCAGAACTGATTCAATGGCCAGTCATGACTTCAGAGGCTGGATGATGAGGCTTGGCAGAAATGAAATGGAGGACAAGTGGAACCTGACACATACATTCTCAGGTTTGATCAATGTGTTGATTTGTTTTGCACTTGCCTATATTAATCTGTTACAAGAGAGTGCTTCTGTGGGGGGTGAGGGTGGAAAGATGTCTGCGGAGTTAGTAGACAGTAACAGATACACACACAAAAGAAACATATATAAAACACAAAAAAATATACCTCTGAAAGCAAAAAAAGTTCAAAATGGGACACAAACAGAGCAATTTTTGTACTGCCATGTTTAAGATGCACTTTAAAAACCATGTAACAGATTACAATTTCATATACAATTGTCTTTCATTCTTTGTATACTGAACTTTTCATCTTAGATGATTTTTGTTAGAATTTAAAATAAAATATTAAGAAACACCCCCCCCCATGAAATCCATGGCAATAAAAACAAACAGGAATTTTACTTAACAATATTTTAGTCTTAGATGCTACCAATAAACCTTAGGATAGATATGGCAATTTATACGGATTTTGGAAATCTCTGTTTTTGTGAAAATATAATAAAATCTTTCAAGCTATTAAAAACTACCTCCAAGGAGAGGCATGGATATTGACTGTTATATTCATAACCACATTTAGGTTGGGAAACTTTATTCAAAAACATTGATTGATTTTTAAAGTATTAAAAAAAAAAGCAAAAAAAAAATCAACCACAGACTCCTTATAACCTCAAATCACTTCTTTTCAAAGAGGCTTTGTCCAAAGATTCAAACAATAGCTAGTACTAATGTTGAGAACTCTAACAGGTAAGTTGGAAACAATGTCGCATTCTTAATTCTGAATTAGTTTTTTGACTTGGCCTTCGAATTCCAAAAAAAAAAAAAAAAAAAAAAAAAAATATATATATATATATATATATATTTAACAGGAAATGAAGAAAAAAACACTGTCATAATTAGAAAAAAATTTATTTCAAATTCCATCAGAATTTCCCTAAAATTAAGTCAACAGATCAATTCAAAGTTGGGAAGCTCAAATGAGATAGAACATAAAAAAGCTCTCTGCAAACCTTAAAGCACTATGTAACTTCTTGTGGTTGACGATGATGATAAAATGCCTTATCTTCTGTTGCATTTGCCTTGAAAATAAGAGGCAGGAGGGAAAATCCCTCTACTTTAATGAACTGTTTTAGTAGTTGTTGGCTTAACTAAATTGGGTTTTGCAAATTGAATGTTAAGAGATAATGGGATTTGCACCTTAAGGAATTGTTTTACATAGTATCATATACTATATCCTAAAAAACATTATATCCTTTAAATAAGAGATGTTAAATGTTAGCAATGTTTATACAAATGTTTTAAAAGCCATCCTTACCTTTATACCTGTTATACAATTGTTCTAACTTCTTTTTGTCTACTGAATTTTTCATGGATTCTTTGTAGTACAAGTCTGGGTTCTGGAAGTAGTTGTCAGTTGCCACTTCTAGTTTCCACTCATTCTGCATTAAACAGTATATAGCAGTCTTTTCACCAGCCTGGGTAAATGTCATAAACTGGCGGATCTTGTCCTTCTGAGATGATTTAAACTTATGCTTTGGGATGCAAAAGAAGCAGGAAAGCCAATGAAGCTAATCCAGAAGTTTGTTTCAGCATTCTATTACTAATGCCTATATTTTAAGTGGATTTATTTTTCTTGTATGGTGACCCAACTTTCACTTCAGAATTACAGGAAGACAAAGCCTTGTTCTTCATCAGTTAAAAAGACTGCACATTCTTCTGAAAATTGAAATGACAGCATCTATATAGTAACAAATATGTAAAATCTACCTCTTAAAATTACTGTTATCAAGAATTTTATCAAAATTATTTTTATCAATAACAAATTTTTTTCACATAATATATTTTGATCTTCATACATTTCATTTTCAATTAAGCACAGTTACTTTTAAAAACTCTGTAAAACACGCTGATCAGAAAGCTGACATTCTTAAGTTAGTACAGGTATGTACAAATTTTTCCTAAAGAATAATATCAAGCTTCCGGTTTAAAAATATTACTGTACTTTCTTAGTCTAAAAAAAAATCACTAACTGTTACAGCTGTCTTAAATAGGAATTAATGAAAAAGAAATTTTAAAGCACAAAGATATCTTTCTAAATAGGTTTTTAAAACCCAAACGCCTAGTGAAAGTGGGCCTAGAAGGAACTTATGCTATGGATAGTTTAAAAAAAAATACTAATCAAACAACAATAGAGCCAAGAAGACCAGGGCCTTTAAGCCTAAGTAAACAAAAAAGTTAAGTTCTTCAACTCCATAGAATTACATTAAAACACTATATAAATACTCCTAGATTTTTTTTATATAGTTAAGTTTATAACCATTTAAAATCATGCTGATATGGCATATTTAGGAGTAAGGGGGGAAAAAAGCTCACTGACCCCTGAAGTTCATTCAGGAATGGCTACGTTGCTCAAGAACATGAAATGTGATCAGTGAATCTGTTTACTGCACTAGTGTAATGAATAAGCATTAAGCTGCTCCTTTCAGATATTTCCTCCGGATTTTAAAAATATTAAGACATTTAAAGTTATATATGTCAGCTAATATAAAGCAGACATTTAGAAACATTTTTTTAAAATTGCAAGCAGCCCATTTCCCACAATAATGTTTTATCACTCTACTGAATTTTAGACTCAAACTCAAGGGACAAGGCCCTGCTACCTACCACCTATATGACCTTAATGAAGTCATTTCTCTTCTAAGCCTCAGTGCTCTTCATCTCTAAAATGAGGAAGGTGGTGTAGATGACTGACCTTTAAGGTTTCCCTTCCATGGCTAAATCTGTGATGCTAAGATAGGAGAGAGCACAAAATTCTTGAAAATAGTCAATAGATTTTAAAATAGTCAATAGATTTGATCCTGAAAACAGAACTACATAACCTTGTCCAGTCCACGTTAACTTGTCTGTACATCAAAACTTTCCATGAAAAGAATGCAAGATATTGTCTTTAGTATAAGTACTTAAAATAGTCTAAGCCACTTAAGTAAAATAGGACATCATTGAAAATTCTCTCTTAGGCTTAATTACACAGTTCAGCAAATTGAACAACTAAACTGAACAAATCCAACAACCTGTTGGATAATTTTCATTGAAGTGATTATTCTTTTAGTCAAATGCACTGCCTCAAAAAATACAATATGTAACCCAAAAGGAGTGTGTCATCATTTATTTCTTTAGATATCACAGGCATAAATCACTTCAAGTATAGTCTATAAATGAAAAATCCTGATTTATAGAAAAGATAAATGGAGAAAGACTATAGGCTTTACAAAAGGTTCACAAGATTTTTAAATAGCAAAATTTCTGTTTCACAATGACCTGACTTAAAATGATCCATTTCATATACTTTTCATTCATTTCACATAACTTTTCATAATGAAATCCATTTGCAATAAAAGGAGGTACACACTAAAAAAAAATCTCAGTGTGCAACCTTTGGAAACCAATGGTTTAACGCCATTTAAATCACTTTACTTCCCTTTAACACTTTATCTAGGCTTTTCAGTTGTGCTATCGCCCAGAAAATGGTTCAAAATTACTATCTATTTGTACATCAGCTTCTTTTCTTTTTAATCAAAAGGCATCAGATTTCCCCCATTCCTATAGAGCACTGATTTAACAAATTTGGAGCGTGGAGGCAAGGATAAGCCAAGGGGGCCAAGGATTTTTTTTCTTACTTTTTAGATGGTCCTTAAGAGATCTAAAGCCCTTTATAAATTCTAAAATGTTCTAACTGCAATAAATAAAAAGTATTTAAATGAGCTAACAAGTATATGGGGAGGAAGGGAAGGGCAGAACTAAGCAGATGCAATACAATTTACAATTGGAGAGGGGTGAGAGCCACCAGATACTTTCGCTAATATATACACATATTTTATATACACATACATATATGTACATATATACATGCATACACACATACAGTATTCTATCCATATATACTACATAACCTACTATATCTTCCATAATTTTCTCCACCCTCCCTTTAAAACTAACATGTTTAAAATACACACACACACCCCAAGGCAGCAGCCCCCCCAGTGCACTCACCTCCGCGCCAAGTACAACCCTCCAACCCCACAAATAGGAGACTTAGCAAACGCCGTAGCCCCCGGGCACTTCGAATTTCTCGTAAAGGCTCCGCATCTCGCCCCTCTGAGCCCGAGAGCAAGGAGACCCCGCGAGGGAGGGGCGGGGGAGCTGTCCAACCAGCCCGGGGGGAAAACCGAAGGCCAAAAAAGGCTAAGGCAGCGGCCGGTGTCAGGTCTCACTTCTCCAGCCCGGAGGGGCCCCCTCCCTCCTCGCCCCTCCCCTCCGCCCAGCCGAGCGCCCCCCCCCTCCCGATGACCTTCCCTCCTCTCCTCCGCTCTCCTCACCGCTCCCAACGGCAACCCCAGCTCCACCCTCGCCTCGATCTCCCGAAGGAAGGGAAAGCAGGGAGATAACAGATAAGGTGCGAGGAGATCCGCAGTAGGGGGCGACGCGGGGTCCACCTACCATTTTAACATCAGCGCTCAGCCCCAACATCTCCGCCCAGCTATTCGCCGCTAGCGCCTTCCGCGCAGGCGTAGCCTCCCCTCCACCCCGCCCCTCCCCTTCCAGCCAGCAGAGGCGCCGAAGTCTCGGCCCGCTGAAGCTTGTGTGCCGCCCTCAAAATGTGCTGGGTCACTTGCGGGGGACGATGCTTGGAAACGGTGAAAACGGGATTCAAGCTTATCAGCCCGAGATGGAAGCGGCGTTATCGGGCTCTGTGGGCATCTCTCGCTCTTCCCGAGATCGTAAGGGCACCGCGTGCGTGGCCCTAGAAGGGGAACTTGTGGGAATGCGGAGACGCTGGGGGCGAGTAAAGTGTGGGAGGAGGGGAGGGGAGGCCAGGACTACAATTCCCGACATGCTCCGCACCTACTGTGGCCGCCGTGGCTGAGCGAGACTGAGATCCTTCTGGAGACTACAGGGCCCTAGATACTGGGCGCCCTCTACTCAAGCACCAGCCAAACACTATTTTTTTTTAAAGTATTTTATAATAAAGCAGTAACTTCAGAAACAAAGGAAAGTTCATCCTAACTCGTAAAATATGGGCAAAGTGCCCAGGGCCCTTTCTTTACAAATACTCAGATCTACAAAAAAACCTATCACTTCTATTTATTCTCTTAAAATGTAGCTGGAGAAAAGTGCTAATTTTCCCTAAACCTCATAGATGGCAAAGACCTCAGAGATGACCACTAGACCATCCTATAACTGAACAGGACTACTTTTTAAAATTCAATTTTATTTTATTTTCAGTTTCAAATTCTTTCCTTCAATCTTCCCCCTCCCCCACCCACTGAGCAGCAAGAAAATCAAAGCTACTACAGTATCTCTGGTCTTGCAAAACCTATTCCCTCGATAACCAACCAAGTGCAAAAAAAGGGAAGTAAAAAAATATGTTTTGTTCTGCACTTGAGTCCATCACTTCTATATCTGGAGGTGGACAGAATGTTTTATCATGAGTTCTTTGATATTGTGGTGGGTCACTGTTACTTAGTAAGTCTTTCAGAGTTGAATATTTTTACAGTATTACTGTGCAAACTGTTCTGGTTCTGCTCACTTCACTCTGCCTCAATTCATATAAATCTTCCCAGGTTTTTCTGAAAACATACATCCCTTTTATCAGGTCTGACAGCACAACAGTTTTCCAACACATTTGGTAAACTATAACTTGGTCAGCCATTCCTCATCCACTCATTTCCAGTTCTTTACCATATAACAAGAAGGGCCACTCACTATAAATATTTTTGTACATATGGGTTTTTTCCCCTTTTTTTGATATCGCTGGGTCAAAGGGTAAGTACAATTTAATACCTTTTTGAGCATAATTCCAAATTAACTTCCCGAATGGCTAGACCAGTTTAAGTTCCACCAAAAGTGCATTAAAATACCTGTTTTCCCACAGCTTCCCCAGCATGTCATTTTCTTTTGTGTCCATTTTGCCAATCTAATGGGGATGCAGCATTTCCTAAGAGTTGAGTTAAATTTGCACTTATCTAATTATAAGTGATTTAGAGAATTTTTTCATATACCTGTCGATAGTTTGGATTTTGCCCTCTGAAAACTGCCTTTTCATAACCTGACCATTTATCAATTGGGGAATGGCTTAGTCTTATAAATTTGCCTCAGTTCCCTACATATCTTAGAAATGAGAAACTTGCTGCAAAAATATTTTCTTAGTTTCCCGCTTCTCTTCTAATTTTAACTTTACTGGTTTGTTTGTACAAAATCTTTTTAATTTTACATAATCAAAATTATCCATTTTACCTCCTGATAACCTCCCCTATCTCTGGTCGTGAACTCTTCCTCTATCCATACATCTGATAGTTAATTTCTTCCACAGTCCTCTAATTTGCTTATGATGTCACCCTTCATGTATCCATTTTGAGCTTATTTTAGTATATAATGTGAGATGTTGGCCTAAACCTAGTTTTTGCCACTGTTTTTCATTTTTCCCAACAATTTGTTTAATAGTGAGTACTTGTCCCCCCATGGCTGGCATCTTTGGGATTACCAAACACTAAGTTATTGTGCCTAATCTATTCTATTGATCAACCTAGAACCAGATTGTTACCCAATACCAAATTGTTTAGGTCATTAAGATCAGGTACTTCCTTGCCATTTTTGTCCCTTACTTTTCTTTTTTTTTTTTTATTCATTCCCTTGATATCCTCAACCTTTTGTTCCTTCAGATGAATTTTATTTTCTCTAGGTTTATAAAGTAGCTGTTTGTTAGTCTAATTGGTATAGCACTGAATAAGTAAATATTAATTTGAGGAGTGTCATTTTTATTATCTTGGCTAGGCCTACCTATGATCAATTATTCTCTCTCCATTTATTTGGATCTACTTTATGTGTTCTGTAATTCTTTTTATGTGGTTTCTCTGTGTATCTTGGCAGGTATTTTATGCTGTGTTTAGTTATTTCAAATGGAATTTCTCTTCCTCCTGGATTTTGATAGTAAAATATGGAAATGCAAATGATTTCTGTGAGTATATTTTGTATCCTGCAGTTTTGCTGATGTTGTTATTGTTTGTTACTTTTTTATTTACTCTGTAGAGTCCTAAGTTAACCATCATATCATCTGCAAAAACTGAGTTTTGTTTCCTCTTTGCCTATGCTTATTACTTTTGTCTTATTGTTATAGATAGCATTTCCAATAAAATACTGAATAGTAATGGTGATAATGGATATACTTGTTTCACTCCTAATCTTATTAGAAAGGCTTCTAGCTTGTCCCCATTACACATAATGCTACCTCTTTAATTTTAGATAGCTATTATCATTTTAAGGAAAGTTCTGTTTATTCTTAAACTTTCTAGGAATGGGTGTGCTGTATTTTGTTAAAAAAAAAGTTTTTTTCTGCATCTGTTAAAATGATCATTTAATTTTTATTGTTTTTAGGACCCTTCTTTACCTATTTTTAAAAACAGCTTACATAATATTGGAATTAATTTTTCTTTAAATGTTTGGTAGAATTTGCTCATAAATACATCTGGTCCTGTTTTGTTTTTTTTCCCCTTTGGGAATTCATCTATGGCTTGCTCAATTTTTTTTTTCCAAAATAGGCCTACTTAAGGATTCTTTCTCGTGTTCTGTTAATCTGGGCAGTTTATATTTTCGTAAATATACTTCCATTTCATTTAGATTGTCAGTTTTATTGGCATATATTTGGGCAAAATATCTCCTAATAATTGCTTTTATTTTTTCTCCGTTAGTTGTGAATTTACCTTTTTCATTTTTGATACTGGTAATTTGGTTTCTTTTTTTAAAAAAAATCAAATTAACTAATAGCCTATGCTTTATTGTTTTGTTCTCTAAAAACCAAGCCCCTAGTTAAAAATTTTTTTTTCCCTTATGATTTTGTTAATCTTTCCTTTGATTTTCTGGATTTCTATTTTGTTTTTTAATTTGTTGGTTTTCTAAATTTTTAGTTACATTACCAATTTGTTGATCTGTTCTTTTTCTCCTTTTTTGATGTGTATTTAGAGATACAAAATTTCCAAGTATTGCTTTGGCTATATCCCACAAACTTAGGTGTGCTGCCTCATTGTTGTCATTATCTTTAATAAAATTACAGATTGTTTCTATGATTTGTTCTTTGATCCACCCATTCTTTAGAAATATTTAGTTTGGGGGCAGCTGGGTGGCACAATAGATAGAGCTCCTGCCTTGGAGTCAGGAGGACCTGAGTTCAAATCCAGCCTCAGACACTTGAAAATTACTGTGTGACCCTGGGCAAGTCACTTAACCCCCTATCGCCTCACCCCCCCCACAAAAAAAGTTAAATTTTTTTAAAAAGGGAATATTTAGTTTACAATTAATTTTTAATCTTTTCTTTCAAAAGTTCTTTATTGTAATTTTTATTGCATTATGGTCAGTAAGAGATGAATTTACTTTTTCTGCATATATTTGTGAGGTTTTAATGTTCTAATGGTCAATTTATTTGAAGGTGCCATACACAGCTAAGAATACATATACACCTTTCTATTCCCATTCAATATTCTCCAGAGATCTATCACATTTAAATTTTTAAAAATTCTATGAAAATTCTAACTTCATTTTATGATTAGATTTATCCAGGTCCTAAGAGTTTTACTGTCATATAACTTTTCCTTTAAGAATTTAAATCCTATGCCATTTGGTACATATACATTTAGTATTTATATTGATTCATTGTCTCTAGTGCCTTTTGTAGTTTCTCTGTTTATCTTTTAATTAGATCTATTTTTGCTTTTGCTTTGTCTGAGATGATTGCTTCCCCTGCCTTTTTTACTTCAGTTAAAGCATAATAAATTCTGTTCCAGCCCCTTATTCTAACTCTGTGTGTGTCCTTCTTTTTCAAATGTGTTTCTTGTTATAAACAACATACTGTTAGATTCTTCTTTCTTTCTTTTTTGTAGATTCTTGTTTCTAATCCATTCTGCTATCTCTTCTCTTTCAACAGTGAGTTCATCCCATTCCCATTTGCAGTTATGATTGCTAACTCTGTATTTCCCTCTATCCTATTATACTTTTCCTTCTTTTTTTTAAAATCTTTTCCCCTCTAAAGAGTCTGTTTTGCTTCTGACTACTGCCTCCCTCTTACTCCTCCTCTTTCCATTACCCCTTTCCTTCTTAATTTCTCTGTTAGGCAAGAAGCATTTCTATACTCAAATGTATGTGTATGTGTATTCTTAGCTCCTTTAACCATTTCAGATGAGAGTGTGATTCCATTCTCTCCTACTCCCCTCTAACTGCCCCCCTTGGTTGTATACTCCATTTATGTGAAATAATTTACCCCATTCTTCCTCTCCCTTCTCCTACTCCCAGTGCATTATTCTTCCCCACCCTTGAATTCTTTTTTTGAGATTATTTAAACATAATAGAATTATATCCAGGCCCATTGTCTAATTGGACTCCCTCTAAGACACCTAGGGATGACAAAGTTCTGAGGGATTATATATATTATGTTCCCATATAAGAACATAAACATTGTAACCTTGTTTAACCTCTTATCATTTCTCGCTCCAATTTTCTCCTTGTACAATTATACTCAGTTTTGATGGATAGGTTATTCATGATTGTAAACCTAGATCCTTTGCCTTCTGAAATATCATAAACTAGTTTTTTGCTTCCTTATAGTGAAGACTGCTAAATCTTATGTAATCCTGACTATGGCTCCTTGCTACTTGAATTCTTTTTTTATGGCTGCTTGTGGCATTTTTTCCTTTATCTGGGAGCTCTGGATCTTATATTTCTGGGAGTTTTCATTTTGGAATTTTTTCAGGACATGACTGATAGATTTGTTCAATTTCTACTTTGTCTTCTGATTCTAAGGTATCTGGACAGTTTTCTTTTATGATTTATTGAAATATGTCTAGGCTCTTTTTTTTTGCTCATGTGTTTCATGATGTTTCTTAAATTGTTTCCTCAACTTGTTTTCCAGGTCAGTTGGTTTTCCTATGAAATATTTCATATCTTTTTTTTTTCTTCAGACTTTTGACCTTGTTTTATTATTTCTTAATGTCTCATGGAGTCATTGGCTTCCACTTGGCCAATTCTAATTTTCAAGGAGTCATTTTTTAAAAATTAGATTTTGCACATCACTTTCTAAGCTTCTAATGATCTTTTAATCTCTTTTTTGGATAGCTCTGATTTTTTTTCCTATCTTTTCCACCACTCTTTGGCTCTGTATCCAATCTGCATTTTTCTTTGAGGCTCTGCTTAGAGATGTTTTCTTCATGAACTTCCCAGTCACCACTGTAGCTCTTTATGGTGGGGTTCTATTTGTTTGTTTCCAATTTTCTCCTAGATTGCTTCTTGAATTTGGCCTTTAAGTTAGTGCTGCACACTTGGGGCGGGGGTTGAGGGGAGGTGGGTGGACTGAGATATCTGGCCTAAGTTGCAGTCCTTTTACCTACTGCCCCCTCCCCAGCTGGGTCTTCAAGTTTTCTGTGTTGCCAAAATGGTGTGATCTAGGGAGAGAGGTCTGTTCACGGCCCTCCTCACCTGAGCTCTGCACGTTCCAGACCCAGGTTCGGGTAGATTGGTTTGTGCCAGATGAGCAGTTTCATGCTGCAGGCCTGTTACTATTAGCCCAGTGGCAGGTTCTGTAAGTTCTGAGCCTCAGAACTGCTCCCTCCCCTGACACCCCCCCCTTGGTCTGGAATTCCTCTACTAGTTATTTCCCTACAGGCTTGGCCAACGGGTTAAAGACTAGACCGAATGACTGCTCTGTTTCTGGGCTTAAAGCTCTGTTTTAGAATTTGTTCCGTGCTCAGGGCACAGCGGGGAGTGGCTGGTGGTGTTCCTTTTCTACACCCAGCACTCAGGGGTTCAGGAAGCCCTCGGCCTTTTTCCACCCTGGTTCCCTGTATCTTTCCATCCCTGGCACTGGAAGACTCCCGACATGGCCCCGGCGTCTGCCGCCCCCCCCCAACCCCTGCTGGAAAAATGACTCACTGTGACCTTTCCCTGGCTGCCCCCTCAGAACTCTCACAGGAAGGGTACTGCAGGTCAGCCAGGCCCACGAACCCCCTCCTACTCCCGCCATCTTGACTCCGCCTCCCCGGCGGCCACGCGTAAAGGGGCGGGGCCAGCAGGAGCGACCCCCTCCCCATCGCTCTTCCCTCCTTTCCCTTCGGTCCTGTCTCCCCCCCCTCCCCCAGGCTCTTGCCTGGATTCTGTTTCCGTTGGGGAAGGGGGCGGGGAGCCACGGCGGCCACGGCCACTTCCCGCCCTCACAGACCTGCCTCACCTGGCAGAGGGATGCTGGAGGAGGCGGCCGCTAGTCCTCGGGCTCCGGCGGCGGCTCCCTCCTCGCTCCGCCCCGCCTGCCCTGGCCGGCCGGGAGCCGGGACTGCCGGTACGGACGCCACCGGGAGGCCGCGGGTGAGAGAGCAGGCCCCAGCCGAGGAGGTGAGGATGAATCCCGGGGCTGGCGCTCCGCGGCTCTGGCCTCGGCCTCCTTCCCTCCCCAGGCCGGGGGAGGCCCAGGGCATGGGGAGGGGGAGCTGTCGGTGAACGTAGGGCCGGGGGCTCCGCGCCTTGAGGGCTTCTTAAAGCCGGGGTCCGTGGACTTGGAGGGTGTGGCGGGGGTGTGGTGGGAACAAAGTCCACATTATCCCACCGAATTGGTTTCTTTTTCTGATCTGATTTAAATGTGCATTTAAAAACATCCATCTGATGGACTTCGCTAAGGGCTGCGGGGCGCCTGGACCCCGAAAAGTTTAAGACCCTCCCAGGTTAAGCGGTTTTCATTTTGAATTTTGCCCTGGCGGCCCTTCCTCCGCGCTGGACGCGATGATTTCCGCAGGCTCGAGGTTTCGCTCAGGATCCGTTATCGCAGCGCCGGCCCGGGGGCCACGGCGACTGCCCCAGAACGGTGCCACGTGACCTCCCGAAGAGCTGCCCAGGTGGATGCTTTGGTCCGGCCCTGCCCGCGGGCGGGCCCGGGGCTGCAGCCCAGATCGCCCCGCTCCTCCAAGTCCGCGGGCACCACTGGAACCTTCTGAAGGTAGAACAGTGTTGGACTTGGAAAGATTCCTCCTCTGTTTAATTATGCTTCATGTCTGGAGACTTTGGTTGCATTGAAAGAGTAAAATTGCTGTTAGTTTAAGAAATCAAATTGAAATGACAAGGAGTGCATGGGCACTTGGAGGTTCGTAAATTTTGAGTTTTAGAAAGGACCTTGACGACCTTTCATTTGAGAGATGCGGGAACAGACCAGAGAGATTAAATGATTTGCTTCAGATCTCAAAATTAACTCAATCCCAGGTCTCCTAGAGGCTAGTTTAGTGCTCGTCAGTCTTACTCACTGATACTTTCCTTTTTATTAGTCCACTGCCAAAAAGCCTGATTTTTTTTTTAATAAAAAGGTTGATTATTAGAGATTAACTCAACTTTTATTAGTACTCTACTGAATTTTTCACTAAAGAAAACTTTGAATTGATCTGGTGATATCTGTTAAACTGGACTGATTCTCAAAAGCTATCCATTTGATTTCTTTTTTAAAAATTAATTTTTATTGATAACTTTTGCTCTTAAATCACCTGAATTTCCCATTGTATGCCTACCCCTCCTCTTCTGGAGAACCATCCCTTATAACATAGAATTGTCTTGAAAAAAAGAAAAATAGGAAGAGTGACCTCAGACCTCTATAAAGGATTGGAAGAGATACTCTCACATATCTCTAATCCATTTGATTTCTTAATATTTTATCTTTTTGTTTTTGTTGAGCCGGCTTTTCTGGTATGTGAGAAGAAAAATCTGTGAAATTGTTCTCCAGCCTTATTCCAGCACGTAAGAAATTTGAATGGTGACTGTAACGACTGTTATAAATAATTGTACAAATTTCAGCTACAATTAGATTCTAAAAATTAGATTTTAAGCTTTTGATATGTGTGTACATAGATATGCTTTTTTAGTGTGCTCTTGTGTATATTTCCCTCTTCTGTTTTACAGGATGACTTTGGTGACCTCTTTTGTAAAAATGAGATTTTTCTGTATAATCAATTATTGATTATCCACAACAAAAATTTAATCCAAATTAAATCTCTCTAATTTACCAGCCAGGTCTGGTAATTCCCCTCCTTCAGAATCTTCAGTGGTACCGTATATAACCTACTATCTGGATAAAATACAAACTCTTTACTCCAGCATTCGAATGCCCTTCATGATCTGTTTCTATCCCACCTTTCCAGTTACTGAGTAGATGGGCAGCTAGTTGGCACAGTAGATAGAATGCACATTCTATATTCAGTTAAATGGAATGTTCAGTTATTTTCCTCATCTTATTTTGTCCTTTTTTGACTTCCATTTGTATGTGCCATTCTTCTAGGCTAGAATGAAATTTTTCTATACATCATCTTGCTGAAGTCCCTATTAATGCCACTTTCTCTGTGAAGCCTCTTGAGCCCCCAGCTAAATGATTCCTTCCTCTTCAATTTTCCATGCTTTTCTATTTGACCTTTCTAGAACACTGACTTTGAATTCAGACCAGCATTCAAATTCCAGTTCTGATGGTGGTCACTTTTGTGACCTTGGACAAGTCACTTAACCCCTACCAATCACAGTTTCCCTATATGTAAAATGTGGAGGATTAAGTTCTACCTCACAGAGTTGTGAAGTTCAAATGACATAGTATGTACAAAATGCTGTGCAAATCTTAAGACCCTTAAGAAGTGTTAGCTATTACTTTAACCTTCTGAGGCCTCAGTTTCCTTATCTTTAAAATGAAGAAGGTGGGGGTGGGGTTGAACTAGATGGCCTCTGAGCTCCTGATTTATATGTAGATGGAGGTATTTGTGGTTTTAAAGTAATGCTTCCTTTCACTCTTGCCAGCTGAATGGGCATTACCCAGTTCTTTCCAATCCAATGAATATTAAGCATCTACTGAATACAGTGACAGTTTGGTATAGTGGAAAATATATTAGTGGCCCAAAAGCCAGGAAGACCTGTGTTTGCTGGCTGACATTGGCCAAGGAAGTGTGCTTACCCTTGAATTTCCCTATCACCAATGAAATCCTAGGTCTGTTCTTCATCCTTATTGTATACTTAGGTGCCCTGTTACATGCTGGAGCTTTTTTTTTTTCGTCTTTTGAACTGGACTGGGTACTACCTGAGTCAGACTGAGACCTGTTTAAAGCCCTTAGCTTGAAAAGGCCAAGGTCCCCCTCTGTATCCCGGCCATCTCCAGTCGTCCAGATCAATATCTTGGCCACTGTAACCAGATGGTTCTGGAGGAGAGAGTGAGGCTGTTGACTTTGCACAGCCCTCCCTCATTTAAATCCAATTCACTTGCAAGTCATGGCATCACCTCCCTGATGTCATGGTCCTCTTGGAGAATGAAGGACAAACAGCAGCTAGCAGCAAGCTATTTCACTGGTGTAAGGAGCTCTTAGTGAGGGAACTACCTCTACCAATTCAGTTCAGCACATATTCTGTACCTTGCAATCTTAGAGAATTGCCTGGTAAATTAAAAGATTAAGTGACTTTCCCATGGTCGTATAGTTAATAAGTCTCAGAGGTTGTACTTGAACCCAGGTCTTTCCTGACTTAAGTGCTAAATAGTGCAATGAATAGGGTGCCTGGCCTGGACTCAGGAAGACTTCTCTTTCTGAGTTCAAATCTGGCCTCAGACACTAGCTATGTGACCCTGCGCAAGTCACTTAACCCTTAGTTTTGCCTTAGTTCCTCACCTGTGAAATGAGCTGGAGGAGGAAATGGCAAACCACTCCAGTATTTTTGCCAAGAAAACCCCAAATGGGATCACAGAGAGTGGGATACAACTGGACAACAGTTGTGGTTGTTCAGTTGGATTGATATGACTGCATAACAACAACAAAGTGCTAGGGATACAAAGGCAAACAAATGAAAAAAGAGGCCCTACCCACTAGTAGGCATCCTACTAGTGGCATAAAACATGTCAGTGTACAAGTCTATATGATTATTTGAAGATAAGAGAGAGTATTACCAACTGGGGGCACCTGGCAACGTTTCCCCTCAGGAGGTGGCATGGGAGCTGAGCCTTGACTTCTCAGAAAGTTTCTGGCTTGTATCTGAGGGATTAATCTAACTTTAGCCCCAGTGATTAACATTAAGGTGAAACTATATTAAATTAGATTACAATATTAAAATATTTATGCGGCCTTCCTTTGGAATACTGAATCCATTAATTAACCTTTTTGTTTTCTGATCAGTATAGAATCAACACTGTAAGAATTTTTATAAATTTTATAAATTTAGCAAGGCTTTGTTGGTTTGGGTTTTTTTTAATATTTAGTACAATTGATAAGAATCTCATTAATGCAACCATTTCTAAGAATTTTTCATATAATGTGCCAATATCTGTATGCAATATTGAAGTCTAAACTGATTGTTTTAATCATTTTAAACCTTATTTTTCTATAGGACTGTTTTTGTAGCTTAATAATTTTTTCATGATTGTTTTTGTTAGAAGAACTTGTTATACTTCAGTGTGCAAAAATTGAAAATACACTTCTTAATAATCTCTATAGGATTTGCTGATAGTGCAGTTTAAAAGAATACTTTCCAAATTTTTCTTTCCTTAATTCTTCAGAAAGACACGAGCTACAACAATTAGCTTAAATTACAAAGATGCACTAGAACTAGCATTGTAGTTTGTATAATACTTGTTTTAGTTTCAAGGATATACTGAAAATGCTGTTTTTATTAACAAGAAGAGGCAACCTTATTTTATTGTAGCATAGCTTTGCTAAATTAACAAATCACCAACTCTCTTTTTAGAGATGTGTCCTAGGGTATGTGGAAAAAGTTTATGAGTGTGGCTTCCTAGTATGTTTTTGACATTAAGTTGGTTAAATTTGGACCATATCAACAAAAAAGATTGTATATACTATAGAAAAATTGCAAATATGATAGCAAGGATTTAGTAAGCATTTACATAGCAGATTTTATTATTTATGATAAGCCTGTGAGAGAGTCCAGTATTGTCGTCATTTTACTAATAAAGAAACTGAAGCTAATGTTGAGTAATTTTTCCATGGAGACTGATGCAGCTAGTTTATATGACAAAATGAAATAATCACATTTGTCTATTTGGAAGCAAAAGGGCCTTTCATAATCTAAGAGATTATTTAGAGAAATTTCAAATTTCATAGCTATGTAATAAAAATCCTCAACTCAGGTTTTACTCTTTTGTCTTACTATAATTATATATATATATGACTTATATATCTGTGTAATATATGTGTGTTTATGTATATATATATATATGTATGTGTATATATATATGTGTATATATATATGTATGTGTATATATGTATATATGTATGTGTGTATATATATATGTGTGTGTGTATATATATATATATATATATATATATATATATATATCTATCTCCAATTATATATGGGAGATATTCTGAGTTCTTAAAGTCTAGACCAGCTCAACACAAGTAACTGGTAGGCAAACAAGATTTTTGAGAGGTTTTAAAGCAAAGATTGTAGAGGGGATTGGTTGTAACATAAGAGGATGAATTAAGGCCACCACTGAGGTCCATTCTAACTCCAGTATTTTGTGATTCTGAGCATCAGCAAGGTGATTGGATTGTATTTAAATAATAACTGCTTAGCTGGTTCCTGATGGGTTCATTATCAGAAGTAACACTAACTGGTGATGATGGGCTTGGAGGGATGGAGGGATCATGGCAAATCATGAAGACTGTTAAAACATGAAGGGGTTGCAATTTGTGTTGGTGACATTTAATTTAATTTAATATTTACAAAATTTGATATTTGTAACAGATTTTTAAATATTCCTTTATACTTTCACCACTAGTGGAGACTGACAACCCAACTGTGTCTTTTCATCCTTTTCTATGTGATCTTGACTGTGTTCTTCCATAAATCCTCCATAGAAAATATCTCTTGGATACCTGGGCAGCACTGAGGCTGTCCATTTGTCATTTCTCTTTCTTGCTTTATTACCAGCTCACTTCCTTTTCTAGTCATTTGTGTCCTAGAAGTATTATG